GCCCGGCGGCCGGGCTGGTTGGGCTGCGCTAGGGTTCCCGCGCCTGCTCCCGCGCCCACCATGGGCAACTCACACCACAAGAGGAAGGCCCCCAGCGGCCCCCGGGCCCGCAGCTTCTGGCGGTTCGGGCGGTCGGCGAAGCGGCCGGCAGGTAGGGGCTGGGGGTGGGGGCGGGGCAGGCGGGGAGGAGGGTCTCCCTGCCGCAGCCGCCGCCGCCGGTGCTGCCCCCTCCCGGGGCTTGATGGGTGTGAGTGTGGGGGGCCGGGAATCCCCCTCACAGACCCTACCCCTCACAGGCACACAGAAACAGGTACGCAAAAATACCCACGGACGGGCACACGTACATGTTCACAATTTACACAGTCACATGCACAACACCCACTCAGATGTGCGGACATGCAGACACAATCACATACATATTCACACACACACCATCGCTGTGGGACGTACAGATCCTGAGACACAGGTACATATACCTGTATATAAGGTTTACACAGCCACACGAACTACACCACACGCGCAGATTCAGACACAATCGTACACATCAGTCATGCAGGTACAGTTGCCCAACGTCTTAGGCACATATATGTACACACAGGTTCAAAACTGCATGACCAACTAGACACACAGGCTCAAAGACAGACCCTAAAGCACTTATACACACACACATTCACGCACACTTGTTCCCCAGGCTTTAACCCCCACGGACTGAAAGTTTGCAGGAGGGAGGGGAGACAAAGGTGGAGGGGAGAAGCAGGAAACCAGGGGCTGGAGACTCGGGCCGCCTCCATCTGGCGTGATCGGGAGTCGGACTGGTTCTCTGGGCTCCCTCCCCACCCCCATCCGCGTCGCCACTGCCTCTCTCTGTTCCCCTTCCCCCCACCCGTGGTCCCCGTGGTCGCTGCCGCATCTCCCCCCCTTTCAGTGCAGCCACCGAGCTGGAACGCAGCCTTTGCCGGCGTGCTGCGGGATCCCTCCGCGGGTCACATTCCATCCTCCAAGTCAGGGGGGAGGGGGCAGAATGGGGAAGGCCTCCAACCCCAGGGCTGGGAGCAGGGATTTCTGGTTTTCCCCAGGGAGTGTGGTGATTCAGGGTATCCCCGGGTGCCAAGGGGTGTTGGAGGAGGAGTTGTCGGGGGTGCCTAGTTCTCTCACCTGGTGAAGCCAGACATAGGGTAGGGGCAGGGTGGGGGATCCACTCCCCAAACCACAAGATAAAGAATCTCCAACAGAGTCGGGTATCTGTTGGTCTTTGGGAGTGAGAGAATCCTGAAGAAGGTGGCTTGGGGGAGCTCCCTGCTGTGGTGGGAGAATCCACTCTTGTCTTCCTAGGATGGCCCACATTCCTAGAGGTTCGGAATTAAGCCTGATGATCTCATCCCTCCAAGCAGGGGGCAATAGACAGGGCCTAGGCTGGGAATTATGGGGTCTGGGTTCTCAGTGCGGCTCTGGCTCCGGTATGGGCTCTGTGACCTTGAGCAGATTGCTTTTATTTCCCTGCACCTCTCTGGCTCCTAGAGGGGGGCTGTCTGCGAAATTAGGGCAGCTTAGCTTAGGTGACTTCTTGGGACCCTTACAGTTCTGGCTAGTCATTTCGTGGATGAAGAGATTGAGGTCTAGAGAAGGTAGGTGGGCTTGTCCAAGGTCATCGCGTGCAATGGTTTGAAGAATAATCATGATTATTAGGAAAAGGGTTAATTAAGTTCTGTACACTCTCTGAGATTCCTCAGAAGGTGGGTTGATAAGAGACTCCTGGACCTTCCAGTCATCTCCCTGTCGCAGTAATCCCGAAATCTGGCTGTGCCCACCTGTCTCTCTTGAAATCTGCATGGGGGTGGGGTGGGGTGGGGTGGGGTGGGGCTGGGCTGGGGCTGGGGCTGGGGATCTTCATCTGCCCTCACATGGCCAGTCTAATCTCATGGTTTCCTGAGAACCAACTGTGGGTCCAGACTTGTGACCATTTGTGGTGGGGGCGAGAGAGATTAAGAGGTCTGTGTTTACAGAATCTGCTCACTGGCCCTTGCGGAAGACGCATGGGGCTTCTAGCACCCTTTGTGCTTTTCCAGTTCCTGCTGCAACTCAAGGGTCAACCAGGCTTTAAAGGTGTTCCTAAAGCCAGAAAGCAATGTCAAGGCAACACAGAAGTAAGTGCGGGGGCTGGAGAATAGTCTAGATTATATATTAAACGACTTTTGGGTTGAGGTCAGTTTTAGAAAACTGGGGAGTTGGTCTTAATTTGGTCTTTGAATTAACGATAGGGTTGGAATTAGTCCTAAATTGTTGATTAAATGAGAGAACCTGGCCAGGGATGCATTTCAACTCTGGGGTATGGTCAAGAGCAAAGGCATGGAGTTGAGACAGAGTATGGAGGTTGGAAAGAAAAGTAGTTGACGCTTCTTCCTTGTGCTTGGGAGGAGAAAAATTTCCATTGTGAATGCAAACTTCAATCCTTTTGGTTTTACTTACGCTGAGGATTCTAAGGCTTCCCTGGACTCAGCCTCTGCTGTCACAGGCCCAGGTATGGGACTGGGGCTTGAGAACTTACTCATTTGATTAGTCTGTGAAGGGATAGGGGAGAGAATGCAAGGCAAGCAGAGAGGGCTGGTGACTACAGGCCATAGGGAGCCAGTGAAGGTGTTTGAGCAGGGGAGGAACCGACGAAAGTAGTGTTTTAGGAAGATGGCAGGTGCATTCAGGACAGGCTGGTGGGGTGGGGCAGTGAGAGTAGAAACTCATAGAACTGTCTGGAGGCTGTTGCAGTAATCTAGGGGAGAGGTGATGAGGTGAGGGCTGGGGACAGGGTGAGGGCTGTGGGAGTGGAGAGGAGTGGCAGCTGCAGAGACACTGTGGAGGAGGTGGGAGAAGTGATAGGACCTGGGATTAATCAGATGTTCAGGATAAGGGCTAGAGAGGGCTGCTTGGCTCAGGGATGGTAGCAGATAATACAGAGATAAACCCTGTGCTAAACCCTTTACATTGATGAATTCATTTGTCGTCCAACAGTCTTACAAGCTAGAAGCTATTATTCTCCCCATTTTACAGATGAGAAAGCTGCAGCTCAGAGAAGTGACGTCACTTGTCCAAGGCCACTCAGCAAGGTTACCAAACGGGGATTCAAACCCAAGCCTGTCAGATTCCAAAGCCTGTGCTCGTCATCATTGTAGGCATAGATGAGTTTTCTCTTATGATGAAGGGGCCTGCACGTCCTCTGGGCAAAGAAAGCCTGAGGCCCTGAGGGATTTGGACTGTGTAGAGACCACACGTGGAGGAAGCACTGTGGGGGAGGGGGCGGAGGAGGGGTTGAGGACTAAGCATTGAAGCCCCCAACAGCTCAGAGAGGGAGCAGGTGGGCAGTGGGAGGGGAAAAACCAAGATTCAAGGAAGAGTTGTTCGATCCTATGTTACAAATACCCTTAGACCACAGACAAGGGTGAGGGTGGATGGGGAGAGGTCTCCCCACTGCTGGAAAGACACCCTAACCTGGTTGGGATTGCTTGGCCTTGGCTCTCAGGCATCCTACTCAACCCTCCCACTCCAGTCCAGCTGGGGGCTTGGTCCCGGGAAGTTAGCGGATTGGTGGAGGATGTAAATTGGAAGTTCAGGGAGTACCCCTACCACTCTGCCCTCCTCCTGTTCCCATGCATTATACTGTCAGGTTTACACACATTGCCCTCCTCCTAGTAGGGTTTATTGTTCCCACTTTGCAGATGAAGAGATTGACTAAGTCATTGGTGGAGTCAGACTCCCCTGCCTCTGGGCTTGAAGTATCAGGGGCCACAGCTGGGGGAAGGCCTGCTCCTGTTACCTCCACTGCCCCCTTTCTTCCTATGTCTCCTCCCCTTTATTAGGGTGGGGAGACCTGTTACCAACTGTATGTCTAGACTTGCTTGTGGGAACCCTGGCTTTCAGATAAGGCACTGGCCCAGCCCTCTCTGGTCTGAGGGATCTGAGATAAGCTGAACCCCCTTGTGCCCCAGGCCCTGAGCAAAGAGTGGGACCACTGCCCTCATTCTAGGGGCAGAGTCATGCATACTAAGGGCTCTTTAAAGATCATCTCTCCTACCCTCCCACCTCACAAATGAAGAAACTGAGGCCCAGAAGAAGGCAGGGCCTGGCTCAGGATCATGCTGCAATTCAGGGGCAGTGAGAGCTCAGGCCTAGCACTCCTGACTCCCAGGCAGCGGGATGCCTGGTCTGGGCTCTGAATTCCCTTTCCTCCCAAACAGGGGTGTTAGGGCTGCCAGACAGGACTAGGCCACTGAGGAGCTGATACTGGAGCTGATGTTAAGTGTCCCTTATCAAACCTTATCTTAACAATGGTTCTTAACTCCACTTGAGATTTGAAGAGCACTCCGGAAGTGGATGGGCTAGGAGGCCTCTGGTGGCATGGGAAGAACATGATTTTGGCAGCCAGTCAGAGCTGGGCTCACATCCCGACTCTGCCATTGCTAGCTGTGTGACCTTGGGCAAGTCATTAACCCTAGGGGAGTGTCTCTGTATGGTGAGGAGGATTTAGTGAGACCATGTGTGTCTCAGTTGGCACTCAGATCCTGGAGAGGCAGAGGCTCCTGATGACGACAGAGACTTTGTGTTTACACTTGGTTGCGTGGCTTTAACTTTCCAAGGCACTCTATGAGGTGGGTATTAGTCCCACTTTACAGATGAGACTGTGGCCCTGAGAGGCTGGTTTGTTTGTCCAAGGCCTGGAATCCAGACCTTCTGACTCCCAGCCTTTTTCTCTCTTGAGTTCATGGTGGCTGCCTCTCCGGCATCTATAAAATGAGGATAATCATGCCTTGAAGGAACAAAGGAAAGAGCTTTGGAAAGTCAGAATTGCACGCTGGCCGAAAGAGATTATTATGTCATTGTCAGCAACAGATACTGACCCGGAAACTCATTATGACATTTATTAATATCATGGTAGCTAATTCCTCCCTGTGTTACTGCCCGTTCCCCCAGGCGCCTGTGGGAAGGGATCCTCCCCTCCTTGTCCCAGGCACTCCCTGCCCCCCAGTATTTACCGTAGAACCGGCCTGTCAGCTCTGCCCTGGCCAGGGTGGGGCTTCACACTGAGAAAAGGAAGGAAGGAGATTCCCCTTCTGCACAGATGGGGTGCAGAGCTCCCCCACTTTGGGCAGGGACTGAGACTGG